ATTTTAATTATTTAGCTGACAAAATATCAAAATAGACGCATTTTAATCAAACAGCAGGAAATTCGTTCTCGAAAAACAAACCTTAGAATGTCTGTGCCAGAAATTGAAAGCAGAAGTTATTATATGACTGTCAAATGCAGTATTTGCCAATTTACCTCCGTTGTATCGAGATAAACAATAAACATTCAACAATAAAACCTGAATTAGACCGATTAAGCCCCGACACGAACGCTATAATTCACGGTAGCGCCAACAAAGGGTACAGTCGTCACTATAATTAAACTCGATAAGTCCGTTTTACGAGCCGACTGTACTCATCGACCATTGAAAATAAGACTTTATTATTAAAACAATAGGGTTGACTAGACATGCCGATTGAAGGTACGGTTTAGCTCGGCCGAAGGGACCTATAAAGCTGGATGCATATTTGTAGTAAAATTGCGTCATTTATTCATCGAGTGCGCGTATGTAGCTGAAAACTCATCAAGATGGCATAATTTGTTGCTTTGCGTTTTTGTTTAATCATTATATTATGAATTTTAAAATTAATTAATTTATTGTTTTTTCATCGGGACACAGAATAATAAAATAGGTACTTCGATCGGAACCACATTTGATGTATCTATCACTGCGATGCCATTTTGCACTTATAAATGGTCGGCATTATTGTATCACTGTCATCATCGCTATCGTAATATAGGCTAAGTGATATCTGCATGATATTGTACAGTCACGGAATGAAAAGGTTCGTCAGTTTTCAAATGAGCACATATTACGGAATATTACCTTTTGAAACTATGTTACAGAATAATCTCGAGTTAGAGAAAATAATCTTTAACTGTTCGTCAGTAAAGTTCAAAATTATTCAGATCAAAGTTGTTTGACGATTTATCTTGTCAAGATTATTATTATGATTGCTAAACTAAAACCTTCTTGTTGGTTCAACCTGCCGTTATATTATTTCTTATAAAATAAAAAAAACTATTGTCAATTGGTCAATGTCATCATTGCATTGCACTGATGATGGGATAGAAAAATAAACAAGCAAAACCTTATTCGTTAGCAAACGTCATATTTATTTAAATGTTAGCAGCACTGTTTCTTGCACTGTTATGTTGGCAGGTTTGACTCTTACAGTACCTAGTGCAAGCGAAAACCGACGCTAAGGTGACGAACCTTTTCATTCAAAGACCGTGTTAGAATTTTTGTCAGTCATTCAGAAAATAATGTGCAAGAGAAATCATAATAACAGTGATAGAGATACGAAACGCCTAGTGTGAACGCAGCTTTACAGTCGACTTTGTGCAGGGCTGTCACACATTGTTGATTGAAGACAAGACGGGCCCAAATGGGGTTTAATGTTTCAATTACGTATACTAATTGGCCAAATTTGCGGTTCTCGTGTTGGTATAGATATGAAATTGCGTGCAAAGAGGCTTTTAAACCGGATCCCTTTGAAGGCATGACTTATTCATGGCGGGATCGGGCGGCCATATTGCTTTCAGAGGGAAATGGATTAATGATGGTTTCGTTGTCTGATTTTACATTGTGATGCGTGAAATGGATCTGGTTTATTTTTGCTATCATTAATTTTGATGGCGAGAAAAGTTTGGTTTGTCTTTTTGTGAATCCAAGACATAAAAAATTAAGTAAGCTGAGAATAGGTGTAAGTGCACGTAATAAATTAAATTATGTACCGCATAAATCAGAGTTAAAACAGTTTGATTCACACAATATCAAAGTTTGCTACCCATCTCAGACTTAATTAAATTCGGAGTTGGACGACCAAGGCGTGGCAGCCCTAGACCTCAGGGGGGCCATACGTCACATTAGTTATGGACCGGGGCCTGTCTCGGGTTCCCTGAATTATCCCATCCGTCACCCCTTTGAGGGTCCCGTACACTTGGGGACAATAAAAGTTGAAGTTTGTTCTTTATCGAGAAACTTTTGACGATCGAACGCTTTGCGGGTAGATTAAGTTGTTTCTGGTTCGGAAGACGAGATGTGTGCCGAGGGAATAGTGGTACAGGCTCGAGAAGTCAATCGTCTCTTATTTTACTTCAAATGTTATTCTTTATTTGGAAAGATATTCCTTGTGGTCTGTACGGCTAGCACGAAAAACTTTCGAGTTCGAATCGTTTGCGTATTCGAATCGCCATCAAAATATTTAGTACGAAAACTACAACAGCGCCCTTCTGAACGTGTCGTAAAGTGAAAATGGTTGCACGAAACTTATTTTGAGAATCAAAATTCTCACGTTATCGTTTAATTCGAAGGTTGAGTATCGAATTTTGTCGAATACCCAAACGATTCGAAGACGAAAGTTGTTCATACTAGCTAGAGGTACTGGTCCTGAAAGTGTATTTTTATTTTGTGATGACTCATCTTTGAAATAAATTAGTACTGAGCTAGATCCTCACGTTTTTTTAAACTTCATGAAATATCTCTCTTGAAACAATTTAGGTAATTTTTGAACCTAAGCACTTTACCATAACAACATGTACTCATTCGTTTGGGAGCTATGATGCCAAAGACTGACGACGTATGCATTAAACTAACTGTGGCATCTAATTTAGTTTAAAAATAGATGATTGTGCACCGAAATTGTATGGTCTGTTTGTGCTGTTGCTGTAGGTACATAAACAACATACCCTTCTTTTCCATTGTGGGTTAAAAATGGTAGTACCGGTCAACGGACTGTCCCTTTTTAAAATATGGACTCCATTTCGCTGGCATGTTTTTCGGAGTGTTGTAATATTTTATTTTTATATTTCCGCATACATATTCAAGCATGATCAATATACTGGATTTGTTACAATATTTTTCACACGTTTTTAGCGTGTAGGCTTCGTACTATTCTGTGCTTCAAATCGAAAGGTAAATAATCTGAAACGTATCGACATTCAAAGCTTGCATTTGATAAAGTTGTAATACGAACATTATAAAAGTAAGAATCAATAAATGTGTTGTTGATAACATTGTTAGTTACCCTACTTTGTCTCGTTTGTGAATTAAATGACTACGAGACGAAATTAGCCGCATAAAAATAATCTCCTAGAATAGCTTCGATGTTTCATTTAAAATTAATTCGTTTTTTAGCATAATGTTAGCTCATTTAAGCAATATCACTTAGTTTAGGTTAAAAACACTACGATGAGCCCCCGGGGCGCAATTGGCTCATAACGAGCACTATTATGTTTTTTTTTATTTAAGCCAAGCTTATTTTTGTGAGCAAATAGTACCAAAGTGCACATTTGCACAATTATTTCGTTTAATCGACGTGCTATTAAGACGTTTGTTTTTATTTTGAGCATTCTTATTTCTTCTTTATTTCCACTTTTTTATGAAATCAGCCTCAAAATGAAATTAATTATATTCTCATAATATCATACATTTGCCAGTCCATGGGAACCATTATTTATCCTGAGGTCATCCATTACTCTGCCATGGGCACGGGCAGTGATGATAACTCAACATCAAGGGACCTATATGCTTTTTGTCGCCTTTTCTATGAATAACATATTTTACTGGTGTTATAATCAACATTCATTGGTTTGCTTAATTTTTGTAGAGCACGTCCTATGACTCGTTTTGTGTAGTTTTAAGGACTCTACACACTAGCTTGTTGTCGGCGGCTTTATTTCAAAAGAATCATGTCGACGACTTATGTCGGTGTTTGGTGTTTAGACTGCATAAGGATTTCTTCTAAACGTGCGATAGGTTTCTATTTGTCAAAGATTTAATTCCTTTCACGACATGGAGTGTTTGTATAAAACAACAAACAAGCAACTCCTGAGCGTTCTCTACTCGGATGTTTGATACAACGGATAACTTGCTACAACTTTTATCAGTCCAATTAAAGTATGGAGAGATGTATATTGTACAAGTTTTATCTTCGTATTCGAAAGTTTAATAAGTTTTACGTGAGTTGTGTTAGAATATCTATAACATGTTATTTTTAGTTTCTTTTATGGACTTGCGATCGTTATTTTGACTAAATTACTCAAGTTGGCACGGGTTGTTGTTCCTAAGTTAAGGTACACGTGTTTCGTTTAGTTACTGGGTCGAATTATCTTAGTATTTTTTGGAATTTAGTGGGAGATTGATGTTCAATCGATAGTACATGTTAGTCAGGTCATCACGTGACTGAAGGAGAGTCAGCCAGCGTAGTCCAAATTGTCCCTTTTGCTTCTGGTGAATTAGAGACTATCTTCCTCCTATAGTGGAGACTGACGCCCGTATTCACAAACATTACTATGAGGTCTCACAGTGCGCGTGGACGCACAGGGGGACACACGAACCAATCACAGAGCTCTATTCAACGCTGTACGCTCGAATTGCTGCTTCACTTGACCACATTTGTGAATACGGGCATGAATGACCTAATGATGATGATGGTGATTGTGGTGATGATGATGACGATTGTGGTGATGAGGTGTTGATTGTGGTACCTACTGTGGGATATGATGCTCAACCACAATAAGGAAGCTAAGGTGATAGTGCTTCCTTTCGAGCGGGTGTTGTGCTCGGGGACCAAAGTCCAATTTCTACCATCTTGGTTTTCCTCTATACAGGGTGTTAGGTAAATGGGTATATAAGCCGACACTAGCCCATGTTAACATAGGCATATAAATGGTATGGTGAAGTCAGAAATTTGATATCATGATTTTAATTTTTTTAATTTTCATACAAAATAAATTTTACAAAATCCGATTTGTATGAAAATTAAAATAGTTAAAATGAAGATATAAATTTTCTGACTTCACTATACCATTTATATGACCATGTTAACATGGGCTAGTGTCGGCTCATATACCCATTTACCTAACACCCTGTATACTTGGCAGGGCAGAACACTCCGACACCGCGATGCAGGATTGTACGCGCGTTGGTGTATGCCATAGTGAGGTTGTAACAGCGCCATCTGTTGGTTACTAGTTACTAGTTTGTAGTGGCGTATCGTAGATGTCGCCACAGTACTAATGAGAATGTCTTTCCAGCCGAGGCGGCTGCGAAGGCCGGCGGGAACGATTCGGCTTCTGGGCACGACACAGACGCGAAGCTGCCGCCGCACGAGCAACCAGACATGATAGTCGGTGAGTGGACATTTTGTTTTAATAATTCCTTGTATCTACTATGTCATAAAAGTACAAGACTTACTTTTTGATTTGTAAGTACAAATGCAGGGCTACTACGAAACGCTGTTTACGTAGATTCGGGTCTATTTGTCACCGTCTCTCGTACTAGCATCATGCTTTGCGTGAGAGGGATGGCAACATTCGAAACTTCGGATAACGTTTTTCGGAGTAACCCCGATGGTTCTTATGCTGAGAGAGAAATGAAACTGTGGGAAGCCACCTGTGTAGGTACTTCCAATCTAATCGGGCTCTGAATGGGTACCAGATTTTTTTGTCATCTGGCACGAGCTACGAAACGCCAAATAGGTTAACTTCATTCAGGATATTATTGGGTATATGTTTCTTTAAAGTAATTCACAATAAAAATAATTGATGTCACTAATATTAAATGCTTTCCCCAAATCGTCATGTCTACTTTTTCTAGTCACACTTAGGGACCTTTTTAATAGACATTATAAGAGATTATTGGCCAGTATTCCCAGGAGTTCTCGTCCTAGTTCTAAAGCCTTTCTATAATAAATTCAGGATCCTCCATTAACTTAATTTTCTTACCTGTCCGAAACTTTACTGAAGTTACGGTAATTTTATCGCATGCCGCATCTCAGAAGATCTCAGAAGCCATTGAAACATCTAGCGGCTGAGCGTTTTGCGAATAATGGAGTTCTGGCATTATTCAGCAACATTCAAAGTTGCCCAGTCTCCCGCGACGACTGCGGCTTTCAGTCTGCGGCGGGCCTTACCATTGTTTTGGTAAGGGTTTTTAAACTTTCCCGTTCACGTTTAATAATAAATAATTTACCAACACAAAATGCGCCATCTAAGTACCAAAATAAGTATTGGTATCAACCATGTTAAGCTGTAGATAAGTAGGTACAGTGTGCTTACCATGAGTTTACGTTCGGTGTGCTCGCTAGCGAGTACGTCAAAAAAATCTATGAAGATTTTATTTCTTGAAAGTAGCCACTAAGGGCGCTGCACAATATGTCATAATGTCATTTTTTTACGCAGTCGCTAGCGAGCACACCTAACGTAAACTCATGGTAAGCACACAGTACTAAAAGTAGGTAGAAAAGACAACAAAGTTTCCCGTGTAGGAATTTTCATGGATAAAGAAATACTAAACTCGTGACAGGGTTGTTAAGGCAAAAAGAGCTTCGTTACCTAGGGGAATTAATCTTTCGAGCACCAACTAATCGAGAAAGAGGTAACTACTTATCAGAAATCAATTTATTGTCTTATGAACGATTGATACTTTGAAAGGTAAAGTTTAGTAGTAGGTGCTTCATTTTATTTTATTTTATTTTGTTCGGTAAACATACAGTGAAACATTAACAGACTAATAACCAAATTCATATCTGAAAGAAGTACTCTTATTGATGTTGTTTTAAGCACTATCTTTTCCTATTAGTTAGCTCGAAATATTCAACATGAGTCACATATTGACAATTTAAAAGTATTTTTGTAACAGCTTTGGTCACGCACAACCAAATTGTCTAGACACGAGAAAGCATGGTAACCACGCCGTATATTCGTTACTAAAATAGAGACAATCGCCCTTGGAATTAAGTTATGGAATATATCTGGTCTGGTAGATATTTCACTGTTGGCATGGCAAGGTCGGGGGAAGTATGAAAGGTTACGAGTATGTCAGTGATATTTTGGATCGTAAAAAACTTTCGTGATAAGATAGGTTGTGAATAACTCAAGGTAAAATCGATCAAGCAGTTGAGTTTTCACGAGCACAGGTTTTTTGCATGTTATCGAAAATCCAAGTAGACTAAAACAAAGTTACAGTTAGGTTTTAAGTTAATTACAATATTTACAATGATAGAAAACACGTATGACATTTTTCTATTTCCTACCGATAGTTTAAATATGCCTGTATTTCAGTTTATTACATTTATTTTATAGATTACTAGCTTTCCGCCCGCGGCTTCGCCCGCGTGGAATTTTGTCTGTCACAGAAAAACTTTATCGCGCGCGTCCCTGTTTCAAAAACCGGGATAAAAACTATCCTATGTTCTTTCCCGGGACTCAAACTAACTCTATGCCAAATTTCATCAAAATCGGTTGCGAGGTTTAAGCGGGAAAGCGTAACAGACAGACAGACAGAGTTACTTTCGCATTTATAATATTATAGTTGGGATGATGATGATAATAAAGGTTTATGTATTTTATACAGATAGGTAAGCCAATTTATTGAAAATTTTGTTTTATTTGCGGAAAAATCGTGCATTAGGTAGGCCTGTAAAAAACTCCACTCGTATTCCCTGTTTCTGTTTTTTCCAACCTATATTTAACACCCTTTATTTAAATTCTATAATTAGGCAAATAAAAAAGATAAAAACGTGAATATACATATTAATATTGACAAAATGGTGGTTTCCAAACACGTACTAAGGGGTCTCTGTGGGCGGAATTTCATTAATAATTTCAGGTTTGGTTTGCATAATATAAATAGCACAATGTGATAAACTTGGGATGGTACGATAGTTCTAATTATAGCATGGGTTGGGTGGATAGGTTTTGATTAAATTGTGTTTACTGAGCAATAAGTGATTTGGTTAAAAGTTGTTACCAGTACGGCTAGCACGAAAAACTTTCGAGTTCGAATCGTTTGCGTATTCGAATCGTCATCAAAAGATTTAGTACAAAAACTACAACAGCGCCCTTGTGAACGTGTCGTAAAGTGAACCTATAATGAGAAATGGTTGCACGAAACTTATTTTGAGAATCAAAATTATCACGTTATCGTTTAATTCGAAGATTTAATATCGAATTTTGTCGAGTACGCAAACGATTCGAAAACGAAAGTTGTTCATGCTAGAGGTACAGACCTTTCAAAGTTAACGTTTTTCTTCTTTAATATGTATTTAAACTCCGATTACTTTTCCCATTTTAAGTAATCGTTGACTGTAATTAATATACCTACTCTTTTCTTCCCGAGTGCTGCACAGATTGTTTCCTACGTTAAATTTTAAAGTTCTATGTAGAGAGTTAATACGCCTGTACTCAAAAACATTACTATGAGGTCTAACAGTGCGCGTGGACACACATGGTGATACACGAACCAATCGCAGAGCTCTATTCAATACTGTGCGTTCGCTTTGCTGCTTCACTTAAGCAAGCATCGTTTGTGAATACAGGCGTTAGACATAAATAGGTTTAATATGTACTTGCGTTAGGGGTGGGTTTGCCACAATTATAGTCCAGTGGTCATCGACTATCGAACCATAAGACCATTATCTTCTTAAATCTGTGAATATTTTAACGATGTTTTTTCTGTTTGTCCACAGATATTGTGATTCCGTCGCTACTAATAGCGGCGCTGTTCATTGGGAACGCGTTCATCGTTCTCATCATATACAAATATAGAAAACGGTAAGTTGCACATAATATTTAGAGCACCTGCAAAATAGCACCTGCAAGAATAGCACCTGGTCCAGTCCACGAGGAGCACCTATCGATATTTTGCTACTCTGTTCGTGGACAAAAAATGAAAAAATAATTTAAATCCACGAATAGCGATATCGATTGCTCTTCGTGGACTAGGGCAAGTGACATAGGTACGTGCGGGTGCTATTTGTTCGTCCTCCGAGACGTAGTCTACTTAGAGCACCCCTAACAAACAGCAGTAATACCTTTTTTAATAATCCAACCATCCATACAAACAAACATCACTAAATATTGTTGTCTTTTTTCATCACAGCAAAATTACTGTGACTTCACTATCTTTACTACAAAAAGGGATCGATTTGATCCATAATAATTATCATAATCCTGGAAATTCTAGAATGGAAGTCCCTAGGGAGAGCTGGAGCGAGCTAATAGGATTACTTTCGATGTAATACGATGCATTTAAGAGTCAGGAACCATGGCTTAAGAGATAAAATGTCCTTTACACGGGACGATATTTGCAGAACAATTATTGCCATATTTTTATGAGCTGGACTTTATTTTATAGTTTTGTAGACTGTGAGAAACGAAACGTTGTTAGGAAATTACTGTTTGAATATTGGCGTTTTGTTTTGGTAACGCATTTCTATTTGTAGGTTTTATGTTGGAATCATTTGGTACTGATGATTTTATGTTCTGGTTCATCAAGGTTGATTCTAAAGCCTCTTTTGTATTTACCATCGGCAACAGTGTTAACTATCCATTGCCTATCATGTCGTCTCGTTCTATCGCAAAGAATCGCTATTTGATGAGAGCGAGAGCAAAAACGGAAATGGATAGTTAACAGTGTGGCCGTGTGTACAGTGGTGGTCTTATTGAAGCCCGCATTTTGATCATATAGAGTTATAGAGAGTGATAGAGAGTGATAAAGAGTGAAAAACCAAATTAATTTGGTTCTGATTGTTTTATGTATCTCAAATTCATAAACCATTGTTTGTATAATAAACAAGGTACTCTATTACATCGCTTAAATCACAAATTAACCATATTTCGTCCCGCAATTGTTTTCTACCATGGCAGATCTCGTCCAGTGTAAAGTCCGCAAGAAGCCAACTTATCACAAGTCGAATGCGGGTAGTATTTGGCGGGGGGCCAGAGTAATTAATGCCCAGATTAAACCACGTGAGGTCCCTTATGATTATAACAGACTTCCAAATCGTTGCAGACTCGCAATGATTTTGTACCTTGGCAAATCTCATCCAGTGTAAAGTCCGCAAGAAGCATTGACTTACCAGAAGTCGAATGCGGGCGGTGTTTAGCGGGGGGCCAGGCTATCGCCAGTTTAAGCCATGCGGGGTCCCTTGATTAAAGCACACTTCCAAATCGTTACAACTCGCAATCGTTACGTACCTTGGCAAATTTCGTCCAGTGTAAAGTCCGCAAGAAGCCAACTTATCACAAGTCGAATGCGGGTAGTGTTTGGCGGGAGGCCAGGCTAATGGCCAGTTTAAGCCATGCGGGTCCTCGGAGCGACCCCAATGATTATAGCAGACTTCGAAATCGCTGTTACAAATTGGTGATACATGGCCTTTAAGGGAAATTTTGCGCCAAATGTTATACAGGTTGGAAACGTTAAGTGATCTCACTCGATTATTTCTAAACTATACAAGATATCGAAAAACTGGTTACTGATCCTAAAAGTGCTTCAGGAGCTCTTTCAAACGGTATCAATAATAGATTACTGTATAAACTTGAACTATCCGAAATTTCAATGTTTTCAGTTTGCACCCTGTATAGTTAGTGAGGATGTCTTTCTTGTTACTGTGGTCTGGCTAGTCTAGTGGCTGATGTCTTCTTTCCATACTATCTATAGCCTTACATGAGTGAATAGCTTCAGGACAATAGGCCCCATTTTATTCTGCGTTAAAAAACCTACCATAAGTAGGTATGTACATTTAAAATGCGACAGATTTGGTCTGCCTAGTGTAGAGCTAAACTACCAATCGAACCTGCTCATAAAGATTGTTATTATTTAATTTCAAAAATGTAAAGCGTAAATATTAAAATATCTCAGTTTATATAACAATGCATTTCGTGTAAATGCTTTCAACGTAAATAAATCAAGCTCACCTCTAGTTTATCCAAACATAAAAACCCATGCGTCTCTATGATAAATGAAACTCTATCTACCGTAAAATGTTTTAAAAACCGGGTGTATTTTCAAAGTTGCCTAAAATACACGCTTCACTGTTCTGGACAGAAATCTGGTAACTAAATTCTGTAACGAAATCCGTAACTTTCTGTGTGGAGAACAATGTTGTCGGACATTTTTACTCTTGTTTCTTTTTGCCCTATCAATGTTGGAACTGCGAACATTTTGTATAGGTTAGAGTTGTTAGTTTGGGAGTTAGTGTGTTTTATAACTCGGGGCGTGGATTAAGAAGAAGTATGTTGTTGTATTACATACTGATTATTTTGGCCCTAAAGACATTTATTCTTGTAGTTCGTGTATTTATGGTATTTCTATGAAAAATACTAGCGCAGTAAAAATGACAATATGACAAATGATAAAATATAAAATTTACTATGAATGTTAGTTTTATTGGTACATCATAAGCAACTGAATCAATAATACGTATTACATGTCACAATACAGCTTTATATTATTAAAATTGCTATTGATTCTTTTCGAGTCAACAAATAGTTGTATTATGCGGAAAATAATGTCAACGCTCTTCGGCTTCGGCAACGCCTTCCCAACTCAACCTGTAAATAGTGCTATGTTTTAGGTGTCTATACAGGTTTGTATTCTTCTTCATACAGGTTTATCTCCTGTTGACAATTCAGTTCAGTTTAACTCATTCAGCTGTTGGTGTTAAAATAAATGCATACTTATCCTGGCTAGCGAGCGACAATCTACGTTTCACCGAGTATAAAATTATTAACTTTTACTACGTTCAAAACCCACATGCATAATGCCGTCCAAAAACCCACAAGAGAACATTTTTGAATGGAAATTCTAATAACACTTTTTAGAGCGCACATCGTTTAATATGCATGGAATCGTCTTGAGCCATTCATATGAAAGAGCCGCGGGATAGTTCCCTCGCGCATAGAACAGTTCGTTCAAAGTTAAGGTGACTATAGACTAGAGCAGCGTTTCTAAACTTTTTTGGTCCACGGACCCTTAGGAAATTAAGCACAATTTTAAGGACCCCCTTAATAAAAATGGTGGCATTTATTTAGGATTGTTAAATGGTCCTATAAACCCCCATACATATTATTATGCTCGACGACCCTCAGGTGTCCGCGGACCACTGGTAAAGAAACACTGGATTAGAGAATTTCTATGTGATGTAACGTTCTTACGAATGGTACAATACAGGTAAAAATTCAGTTGCTAAAGCATTTTTATGTAATGTAACGTTACTGCGAATGCTCAAGAGCTCTATTCGGTGTAATTCTCACAGCAACTGTGCATTTACCCATAACACTTTGTTGTACCTTGTGTTCACTCTTTCTTGACATGTGTATCGCCCGCGTTCGCGCAAAGGCTAGACAAAATGTTACACCAATACGTCGTTGATTTGTACAATCAGGTTGTAACAAAACGGCGAACGTGCTCGACGTTTGGTTCGTGAAAAGATGATTCACTAGAACATTCACAGAGCGGCTCGTTCTGCTATAAGTAAGCTCTAGTCTACACTCACCTTTATAGAGTTCGTTAAACTATGCGCAAGATTGTTTGCACAAGCCAGGGGTCCTCAACGTGTGAGTGCGACTTATGCAAGCCTTTAATCAGTGAAGTTTTGAGAAGCTTCAAGGATTGTTAATCTGTGAAATTGGTTTCGTTCTGTCTTTTTTTAAGAACTAATTGGTTGCGTTCTAAGAATTGGTAAAACTAATTGGTCACATTGAAATTGTTCCATTGTAGACTGGACAGTAGATGGAAGTCCGAGAAATAAGATTCTGTGCTTTGGAAGCCGTAGGGGTCTGAAGCTGTTAATAGCCTATATGAAATCAGAAGAGTGTTCAAAAGCTGTTGTTTAAAGAATCTATTAATAATTTAATCATTCATTTCATCAATCAATCATGAAATACATTATTATTTAAGAATCATTTAATTGTAATTTTAAGTGCTATACTTGAAGGCCCTATACATAAACACAACTTGTAAATTCAAAAGGTTGCCCACAACTGACAGGTCGTGCCTTAAGTGATTGCTAGTTCTGCTATTACCATTGTCACTGCAATTTGAACTCTACCCCGTTGCAATAAGAGTTACTGTTTCTGTGAGGCATTGAAAGGTGCGGTAGACCACAGGAAGTCAGTCCATTAGCGTAGATTTGTCAACTATAGGGTCCGAAGGCTTGAGTGATGTAACGAGTAAAATGTATGTTATCGATATCGATAATACCGTAAATCCTGGGTTCATTTCCCGGTGGGACACATAAGCAGTGTGTGTTTATTTCCAAATTAGTATTTGGTAAAATAAAATCAACATTCTGGTTTGAAATTACAACCAAAACGGTCAATAAGAAGATACATAAAAATCATAGTTCAAAATAAAAACGTACCATAACATCGTTTATAGAATGCTTTGTTACTATCTATCAAATGATAATTTTACTGTGATGAAAAAAGACAAAACAATTTAGCTTTGACACTAGAAACAGACACTTTATCGCTGAATTTGAACAAATTCTTTTTGTACATACAAATGTATGTCAGCAAAATGATGCTTTTCAACATCATGATTGAAAAATTGTGAAAATAATATTTTATTACGTTGTCGATATAGCACGATCATAGTTTATCGACTATCGAGTATCCAATATCTAATACAAGACTATCGATCAACATACTCGTAGAGAACAGCCTAGACTAGAGAACTAGTGAGCAACAATAATCGATATTATTCTATTATTAGCTGCTTATACGATTTGTTTTTTCGAAGAATTAGGTACATTTATTTATTTTATTTTCACTTCAGACAATACAGCATGATTTACTTTTATTTGAATTGATTAATTTATTATAGAGAAAATATGGAGAATTTGCTTTGATAAAGATAGCCGTCATACTAACTGGACCCAGAGAAGCGAAGACAAGGTTTTTGACAATGACGTATGTACAGTAAACAATGACATATACAGGGTGTTAGGTAAATGGGTATATGAGCCGACACTAGCCCATGTTAACATATGCATATAAATGGTATGGTGAAGTCAGAAAATTGATATCATAATTTTAATTATTTTAATTTTCATACAAATCTGATTTTGTAAATTTTATTTTGTATGAACATTTAAAATAAATAAAATGAAGATATCAATTTTCTGACTTCACCATACCATTTATATGACCATGTTAACATTCGCTAGTGTCGGCTCATATACCCATTTACCTAACACCCTGTATAATAAATACAGTAATTTGATTACATTTGTAGTTAGAGGTAGTTAACTAGCATTGCAATAATTTTGGCAATATTTGGGAACGCTGTTGTAGCGTTCTCTCTTTTGCTTCTAAGGAGAAGGAGCAGGGCTTCAATGAAGGCTATAGGTATAACTCTTAACTGTGTGCCTTATGGGAGCGGCACAGAAAGTGACGTGACATGACAGTGATTTAAATCGTGGGTCGAATCACGAAAGACTTAACTGATTTTTATCAATTTTACAGGAGCGACATTTAAAGATTTGGAAGTACGGAAAATGTGCATTTCGGCCCTTTCTAACTGTCAATACTTTGCTTTCTGACAAAGAATTCAGCTACGATCTTTTATGAGGTTATAAAATTGTTTTTAAATAACATGGTGTGTAACTCAATATCGCCATTTTGTTAGTTACGCCTTTTCGTAATTCGACCCACGAAATCTGGAGATCTGAAGTTTTGTCAGAAAAACACCCTACCTTACAAACTTGAGGCACTGCACTGACTCCGGTTAAGCATTAGCATTCCCTATAAATGACCTGATGAGGAAATTTTAATGTTTTTAAACTATAAAGCATTGGATTTCATCATCTAAGCCATGAAATGCCTATCTTAGAAGCACTGCCTCTTAGCAATCAAGGCAAAGATAATGTACAAAGGCCCACTCACAATGGGGCATCCAGCTGTCTAAGATAACGTTCTCCAGGCTCTGTAGTCCGTACACAAACTATTGTCCAATCCAGTTGATTGAGGAAGTCACGTTGCTTGTATCATCTTAGTAAGAGTAAGGAGCTTACTCGAAATAATACTTTTCCGTTACGATACGATTAATTAGGCGACAATCTTTTGTTTTCGAAGAAAAGGAAAAAGTAACAATCGAATTCTTTTTTGTTTCGGATTTCATGCGTCTTTGTAATCTAGTGATTGTCGGATGATCCACATAGCTAAAAAATAAATAAGTACCTAGTCGAAAGAAGAACGGTCACGCCCCAAAAAAAAAACTCAAACCCATGTTTCTGTCGAGTCTGGGTCACAGAATGATCGTTCTTCTTTTATTATAGGAACTGGAATATAATTCCAAGACCTAAGTAGGTACATCAACAATAATATGGTTTATAAATACTTTGCTCCTTTCTATCGTGTTAAAAATATTGCTGTTTTGAAAACAGACAAAATAGAGTTTTAGTCAATACTATTTTATTAAACTGTTTCAGTTTTAATTAAATTTTCCTTATCAAGCTCCTGCCTCAATTGGAATTAATTAATATATTAATAATTCGGAATTTGTTTCCAGTTTTGTTATAATGAACTTACTAGACCCTCGATAGTCCATCTTTGATAACATCTGCCCTTTGCTAAACTCGACTTTCATTTAACAAATTAGATCCGAATTAATTTCCATTTCATTTGTGTAAATACGAATTATGAGCGTTTGATGAAATTTTCATACACATTTCGAGACGCGACATTGTTTAGTAGTGATGGGCGATGTTTCGATAGAATTTAAATTAGTGGCGATAAAAATACAAAAATATAATTTTTGATATTTTTTTCAACTTTAGGATTTTCGAAAGAATGTTGGAAATGGAGATTTTTTCCTTGAAATTAATAAAGGGATTTGGTTAGCACAGTAAACATCATGCTATTTACGTCAATATGACAACAATGTGAAGTTTAGCATTTTTTGACGATTAAGTAGTGGTCATGATATTATCATCATTACTTATTCCAGTTTAGTATGTTTAAAGTATTTAAGTGTATATCCGGCGTCTAGTACCCATAGTACAAGCTTTGCTTAGTTTAAGACTAGAGGCGCAGTGTAAAATGTCCAAGGATAACTATTTATTTATTTAGTTAATTGTTTATCAAGGGTTGTAAATAAGCAAAATCTTCTTTCCACATGTTCTCTATTCATAGATGTCATAAATCGATGGTGTCCATCATCGACAGTGGGGCATCACTATTTAAGAAAGATGTTGAAAATGAGGCTTAAGCTAAGACAGTTTCAAATTCACAAGATTACCCTTTAAAATTTCAGTCAGTCATTTTCGTTCATGAATTAATTCTTAGAGTAATTAGTTATTGTAAAATTTTTGGCGCTTTTCAGAAATTGTGTAACTTGATAGACGTGATCTTACTAATATTATAAATGCGAAAGTTTGTATGGATGTATGTTTGTTACTCTTTCACGCAAAAACAGCTGGACGGATCTTGAGGAAACTTCACAGTATTATTGTTTAACATCAGAATAACATATAGCTTAAAAATTATAACGATCTGTGACAAACTGAATTTCATACGGACAAAGCCACGGGCAAAAGCTAGTACATAATAACTTAAGTTTTACGTAGGTACTAACCTTTTAAGATAATTAAAATGTTTATTAGTACTCTAGGGATGGAAATATATTCGTACCTAATTTGTGAGCCTCTGTTTTTGTCACTACCACCTACTGTGAAAATTTCTGGCGCTTTAGTGGACAAAATTAATATTATTATGTAAAGCAATTTATAAACGTCCTCGCAGACTACCAGATTTAGAGACTTGCCGGCGGATAGTTTAGTCAGGCAGTTAATTAGTATGAACATGTATGAAAATACCCATACACCGATTTGGTTTCGGTCAATCCCTTACAAATTACCTCAAACCCAACCAAACTTTTGGCTGATTCTTCATAAAAATTAGAAGCAGGTTAAATTGTCGGCTGATAAAAATATGAAGTCATTTTGGTTATATTATTATGTAGATTTTATTGTCCTAGTTAATTGGAGAGTCATTCCATTATACCTAATCCGTATTAACCGTAGTGTATTCCAATACACCGTAAATTGATTTCTTTCTATGTAATCTTTTATCATCATGTAAATCTAAAATCTAATACGAGAAAATCTCGCTGATCCAACCACCGATTTAAACCTAACGTGTTCACAGTCAAATTTACGCTAACACCAATTTTCTTTTCCAGGAAAAACGAAGATATCGACGATGAGTTCAACACCATTCCACTGAGCGTGAACGGGAATGTGCACAGTGCCGGCAACGCGGTTTAGTCGTATACACTGGGGGATTACACTGTAAAGATACGGTTCGTGGTCTAAAACTCTAAACCAACGTTTTAGTACGCTGTGAGCCACAGTAAAAAGGTTATAGTAAGACATCTCACTTAAAGACACGCGCGTGCTTATGAGTGTAAAGGTACAGTTACACATGCTCATGAAATATCGAAGTGAGCATGCTTATTATTAGCAGTGTTTCGACACAGTATGTACTGTGCACACTGCTACACTGCCACACTTAGTAGTAGCAATTTCTCGATAGTGGCATGCATTCGTGCTAGTAATGAGTGCAAACATTATACGATTGTGGTACGCTCAATTTAACGGTAGAGTCGTACTAGAGGTTTGACACTGAAACTAAGTTTGATCAGACAACACAACTTACCTGAAACCATATTTGTAAAGCATCAGAATTCAAAAACGATTCATAAAATGGGTTTCTTGAGACGTGTCTTACTTTGATGACTTTTTACTGTGGCTTTTGGTAGTTGTTTATGTGCACTACACGAATCGTGAAGACTAAAATGTGACAAAATGTAGTTCTAGGTTTGGTTTCAACGATATTTGAATTTAATTTGGAGTAAAGCGTACTTGATTCCAATAACTGCTGTTAAAACCAAGTAAAAACGCCTAAAGATCTCTAGTTGGAAAGCCTAATTAGAAAAGTTTAATTTAAAATAGTGGCCATGTTATAAAAGTAGTATAGTAACATTAGTTATAACTCTTTAAAGTGTAATCTCCCTTTTCAATTTGACAAGCAGGCTCTACACAGAGTGACGTCACACCAAAAAATACTCCGACAACACGTCGCCAGTCTGTGTACGGCCTTAGTATTAAGATATTTATTTGTTAATTAGATACCTCGACTAGTGATCATCCGTCATAGTCCAGTGACCTTTCTTTAGATTCTTTTAGCGATTAAGTATGGACTGATAATGATATGAGTACTCGATTTTAAAGTAGAAGTTCATTTCTTCGCACAGTCGTCACTGCCTTGTTTGTCACTATCGTCGTCAATTAGTACTAAGGGTATGCGCACACGGGCGATTTCTTCGGGGAATCTGTCACTCGTTTGGGAATTTATTTCGAATAATCAATCCATCAATCGGTCGAAATGTAGGAATTTATTCAAGCGACGAAATCGTACGTGCGCGGGCATCCTAATTGTTATGGCTTGATAGGTCTCAGCTATAGGTTATTTGGAACTATGCTATAGGTAGGTATCGATGTGATTAGTTTCGTCTTGAAATTGTTAATGTTTTTGTATGTATTCGGCGGAGTCTGTATAAATTCTGTAATAAATAAAGCACTTTATCTTTACATGCTTTTTTAATTGTTTTAGTATTATGACGTCATCTCTGAAGAAAATTAAAAGAAATAAGGTTAAACTAGTCAATGATTGAAAGATTATTATTATATTTACACCAGTAATTTATTTATTCATTTATTTCAGATATAAATAAGTATATTGTTACTATACAGGGTGTCCCAAAATTAGCACGTCACACTGACACTGGAGGTAGCTGAGTCTAAGACGCATCGAACAAGCTTAATATGTCCACAGAAAAGTTTCATAAGTTTTAAGATATTATGACCAATTCTATTTATTCATTTCCATAGAAAAGTTTGATGAGTTTTGAAATATGACTCTTATTAGTTATTTTTAAAAATTGACTTAATATACTTGTTAGATGCGTCTTAAGCTCATTTACCTCTGGTGTCAGTGTGACGTGCTAATTTTGAGACATGTATGATAAAATAGCATACAAATAAATATAGTACTTTATGGCAAGCATTTTATTTCAAAATAAATATTAAGCGAGGCTCTCAATTCTAAGTCTTATGAGCTACTTAATTACAATAAAATGAACCTCCTACATTTATCCTGTGTCAATATACAGACAGGCACATTCTCTAGTACATATACATTTCGTACATATCTTATTACACGTAGGCGTAACGAATAGGCCGGGAATGTCAGAGGCTTCAATATGTATCTGTATACATATTACTATGTTTCCAGTACGAACGTTTCAGAAGAACGAGGAGATTATAGCTAAATTGTATTGAACGTGGTAAGGATAGGGATATAGAAGATTATTGGATAAAAAGAAAAAGGTTGGTTAAGAAAGGAAGGTTTGTTGATTAAACAATAATATAAAATTAGTTCACCATATATTTACCTACCTGAAAATTTTTATTAACCGACTAAATACCGTCCCAACTATCTCTATAATCTATATCATCAGCAAAATTCACTAAATTACGGATGGAAATAGCTATAAGTACAGCCTAATTTCAGGACCTAATATACATACGCCCGTATTCACAAATGTCTACTCACGGACATCGCCGAACGCTCGACATCATCATCGACATTACTATGAGGTCTCACAGTGCGCGTGGGCGCACAGGGTGACACACGAACCAATCACAGAGCTCTATTCAACGCTGTGCGTTCGATTTGCTGCTTCACTTAAAAGCAAGCATCGTTTGTGAATACGGGCGATCTCTTGAAATAAAAATCAGTGACCTTTTATACCACATTATAAGATGGTACCAAAAAAGTTGCACAATTCATGCACTCCAGCTTTTAATCATCGTTAATCACACACCAGTTGTCTGACTACAATCTAGTGCCGTAACGTCAACAATTAAACTTGTATTGTAGGTAGAATCCCTTCATTAGTTATGAAGATTACCCTCTACATACGCGCATAATTCTGCCCAAATATGTATGTATGAGATGTAGCTAAAGAAGAACAGCCAGTAGGCCTAAGATGCGCGCCGTGATAACTTTTATCGACGTCAAAATGTATGGGCAAAATCGATAAAATGGCATGATAACCGCTTATCGCGGCGCGCATCTTAAGCCTTCAGGTCTAATAAGTTATCTTTTTTTTTTATATACAACGAAGAAGCTCTTGGCGTGCGTCTCAAATGATGAAAAGTGATGATCAAGCCGAAGGTGGAAGCGAGCTTCATCCGGACTCCTCAACCAAACTTTTTAGACAAAGTAACCTGTAATTCAAAGGGAAAATTACATTTATAAATATATTGAAATCGAAGGTGGCAGTGGGACATTTTCAAGTAGAACCGATGACAAGCAGAGTAGGTATGAAGAAATCTTCTCGGGTAAGTCCTATAATATTACATAATATTAATGTTAAATATTTCATTTGCGTCTCTACTCTTAATGGCACAGAAGACTCTACACTAACGCCCGTATTCACAAGCATTACTATGAGGTCTCACAGTGCGCGTGGACGCACAAAGTGACATACGAACCAATGACAGCTCTATTCAACGCTGTGCGTTCGATTTGCTGCTTCACTTAAGCAAGCATCGTTTGTGAATACGCTGGACGCAGGCCGCTTCCAACATGGAAAGCATTGGGGGAGGCCTATGTTCAGCAGTGGACGTCCTATGGCTGAGATGATGATGATGATGATGATTATCAATTCTTAATTGGTTAAGTAGCGGAGTGAACTAGCTGTTTCAATTGTACTGTGCCAGAGCCAGCGTAGCCTCACGTAATAATTAGGGGCTATTATGTTCGCGGCCCTCAGATTAGTCTAGCCAGACAGAACAACGCTTGCTGTCTGATTATTGCCTCCATTCTAGGCACATGAGTACTGTTAGTATTAACCCAACCTAACCTTCAGAACCATCATACATATTGGATGATTTAATCTATATAGGGTTTTTTATTTTATTATTCGGAACATCAATAGAGTAGTGCTGAGGTGTGGTGAAAAGACTGCAGGTAGATTAAACATTTTAAAATTTAAGTGACAAGACGTAGCAGTAATTATGCCTACAACAATAATACTAGGTACTTAGTGATCTTAGTGTAGCAGGGTTAAAAAAAAACTAAAATATATGTCGGACATTTTCGAGAAATCTGCTACTGCCACTCAGTATATTCTTGCCCTTTACAGCAGGATATTTTACAATTTGTGTACCTACCCCTAATTATTCGCAAAGGCGGCTTTAGAATAATTTGGATTTTTTGGATATAAAGAAAATGCCTTCACGTTCTCTTGAGACGTTCCAGTATGTGTGTATGTGAAAGAAAATCTTTTTTCCTGTTCTCCATTACATTAAATACTTTTACTCAATTCGGGGGCAAATTAAACAAGCCGGTTCCTAAATTGGGTCGCATTTGTACGTTTTAGGGCTTACGTTAGAGATTATTAAGCTCTGAAAGAAAACATTAGGATTACCTTTACTTAAATCTTTTGTTTACATCAGTGCAACTTCTAATGTACCAGGGTCAAGTTAGTTCACCCAGAACGAATAACCAGAAATATTATAATGACATTGTTTACATTTTATTTTTTTGCATGCCACATTGTTATGGTGAAATGTGTGATCCTACTCTAATCTACTTTATCGTCTACTTATATGTACCACTTTCAAGCTAATTAAATGATTTGATTTGATAGCTTTAAAGTGTCGGTACTCGGTAGCGGACGGGCCGAATCAAGATCTGAGGACCTTACCACAAGGGGTTAACGGGGCTATTATTGGTGTTTAGAAATTACTATACAGGGTGGAAACGATAAGTGATCTCACTGGATTATTTCTAAACTATACAAGATATCAAAAAACTAGTTACTGATCCTGAAAGTGCTTCATGAGCTCTATCAAACGGTACCAATAATAGGTTAAAGAATAAACTGGATCTATCCGAAAATTCAATGTTTCCAGCTTCCATACATTTGGTACAGCCTCATAATATTAAAAACTACAAAAGATATCATAAAACTGGTTACTGATCCTAAAAGTGCTTCACGAGCTCTATCCAATGGTATCAATATTAAGTTACAGAATAAACTGTATCTATCTAAAAATTCAATGTTTCCATCTTCCATACATTTAGTACTATCACAGATAATGGTACTCATCTCTTGATAATATTATAGCAAATTTTATAGCAAGTAAAGCCTAAAACTAATGTTTTTCATAAATAATTTTAAATAAGAATGCAATTTACGAGTTTATTTAAAGTTTTAAAAAAAGTACACTCCTAATATTGAGTGGTTGGCATACATTTAGTATGGAAGCTGGAAACATTGAATTTTCGGATAGATCCCGATTATTCTGTAACCTGTTATTGGTACCGTTTGAAAGAGCTCGTGAAGCACTTTCAGGGTCAGTAATCAGTTTTTCGATATCTTGTATAGTTTAGAAATAATCGAGTGAGATCACTTATCGTTTCCACCCTGTATAGCTATGACAGCCACCTGGATTGGTAGTTCTTCTGATTGACTTAGGAGTATGTATGTGTAAAGTTAAGTTATACATAGAGAGAGTGTTAAGAAGAGTGGAGTATTTTTAAAACAGCATTCTAGAATATTTTAAAACAGCACTCTATAAGACACGTCGCCCAGTGAACTTGAAAATCTAATCCATTCCAACTACACAGAGATACCAAAATACTTTAGGTGTCTTCGATTCTACATTACTACAAGCAAGGCAACCTATTCCTTCGCTTTCCAATCCACAGTATTATTTTTCGCTCCACACAGGAATTCCCAGCAAATCCCGATACTTATCAGCGGGATAGAACGGGACTTTTAAGCGACAGGCAACAAATGGGAAGAATATTACACGATTCGCTCGCGGGCGCAGCGTGAAACTACAATGAAACGCTTGCGATTGTGTTTTATTTGGGGAACTCACGGAGATAAAGACAACTGTGGTGTTTTATGTAGTTGTAATAGAGGCGACAAATAATAGTTTGATGTGCTGTTGACGTGTGTGATACGAAGATTTCATGCTTCTGAAGGTGAGGGCTATTATATTTGCCCTCACCAGGCGGCGGCCTGTAGAGTAAGGTCTTAAGTCAGGTACTGTCACGATGTAAAATCGATAATATGTAGCCCTCATTGAACCATATAGATGGCTATGACGGTTATTAAGAAAAACACATTACTAAAGAACTAATTTGCCGATCAAGTAGTTTTTCTTTGAGGATTTGAGGTAGGCCCCTAAAAAGTTGTGTCGTAAGGTTTTTTTCATAGTATTTCATTACGACTGTTTCAATAGGCAATGTTTTCTTTATTAATGAAATACCAGTTATTTATTTAAAATATGCAAACCGCAAAGGCAATCAAATGAATTCACGTTTTTTTTTTTTTTTTTTTTATCCACAACGAGGAAGCTCTTGGCCTGTATCTCACCTGATGGTAAGTGACGATCAGGCCGAAGGTGGAAGCGAGCTTCACCCGGAATCCTCAACCACGGAGGAACTGGCTATCTTACCTCTAACTGCCGGAACACAAGAATGCTGTTAACATTGTTGTTATGGCGAC